CCAGGAGCGTTACTGACTTCCCTCAGGAAATGACAACACATCACAGGGTAGGTGGCAAGTGGAAAGGTCCACTCAGTAGGGGTGGGACTGAAGAGAGTTGTGATAAGCAAGATTGGGGTGCCCTGTAGGGTAATAAGGGCCTATAATGACGGGACAAATCAGGGGATTCCTGCCAAGAAATGGGCTCCCTATTCTGGGAAGAAGGCAAAATTTCTCAATTGGAAAGACATAGAGTGGAAACTATACTTTCTCTTAGTAGATCAGAACTGCAGGGAGGAACAGAGAGCATTGGTGAAGTCGATCTTACTTTAGAACAAGCCAAAGGTGAGGTAAACAGCGTGAGCAGAACTGTATATTTTATATAAGATGAAGCACTGTAATATATATATATATATATATATATATATATATATATATATATAAAGTGTGTGTGTGTATACACACACACACACACACACACTTTTTTTTTTTTCTGCATGCGGAGATGGAATCCAGAGTCTCATACTAGGCGCACGCTCCTCACTCCTATACTATTTCTTGGTTAAAGATGCTACTTACCTCGCAGATCTCTCTATGGCCCAGGTCCTGTCCTGGATTACGTTTCCCCCTCATTCCTTCACAGAAAATGCCACCTATTTCTCTGTTCTTTCCAGTTCTCTACCCCACCCTCTTCATGCCTCTCCTCCTACCCTCCAAACACTCCAAGATTACGTTCTATATTTTTAAGTATCACACGCTTAATATTCATGGTTTCAAATTAAAAATTTGGTGCTTTGCCTTAAGCAAGAAAACAACAGCCAAGAGAACTCATTATACAGTTATGTCTGCTTTATAAATGTAGATCAAATTCCTAAGAAGCAAAGAAGTTCACAGACACATAGATAGCTCTGTTTCGGTCTATATAGCTTATGATCTAATAATACACCCCCAAACATCTGTGTATTCTTGTGGCTTTCTTATCCTTTTCAAATAAATGAAACTGGGGGAAACTAATTTTTATATGGGGGAAGGAAATTGGTTCTGAACCACTTAAACACATGCGAGCAGAATTACAAAAGCAAAGCGACCTTTTAAAAAGCAACACCTTCAGGGTTCATTCCAAACTTCCCATGTAGCCAGTAAAGCCCCAGCTCATGAAGTAAACCTAGACTTCTTTACACATTTGTGATGCTGACATTTCACTTCTAGGCTAAAAATGTTTAAGTCGAGAATACAGTGTTGCTGACAGCCTCACCTAACAATGCTTCGGGATTTGCTAATTAGCAAAATGGAGTTAAAACCAGGTATGAATGTAACTTAATTTGTTTTGTTTCTTTTAGCACCCCTAGCTATCGGATTCATCATCTAACAATGAAATAAAATACACACACAGGCGCGTGTGTGCGCCTGCACACGCACACATACACACGGTGCTTTTTAAGGTGAGCCCAGGTAGTGTTCATGTAGATGTCACAACGATGTCTCAGTGTTGACAATAGCTGCCACTTAAAATTAAGCATGACATTCCAAAGACAAGCTTAGAAAACACCTCTGCTCTCTTCACCTGCTCAGAGAGACTCTCCCGAAGAATTTGCAGAAGTTCTGGAATGGATTCCTAGAGCACAGAGCTGAGGGGGAGGGGAGAGGAGGCATCACTTCCAGTCTGGAGATAGGGACCCAGACGGGAATTACAGCTTGTAAAAGAAGCTTCCATCAGTCTCCCAGGAGACAGCCAGCTTCTACTTGGGTGTTCCCCGCTTGTTAGCCTCAGCCATAATTGGTCTTTCCTCCCATCCCACGTTGTTGGTTTTCTGTGTGTGGCTTTTGGTGTGAGCGTGTTAGGTCATCAACAAATACAATGGGAGGAGGGAGTGAGGGAGACACACATTATTGTTTTAAAGAAGAAAAGAAAAGGGATAAGAGAGTGGGCAGGAAGGCTGTGAGCAGAATGGGGAAGATGCCCCAGGATTTAGGCTTCCGAGGCAACCCCTGGAGTGACAGAGAGTATGGGAGTTTTGTCAAAAAGAACTCAGGCCTACTAGGAGCAGGAGCCCTACTGAGCTCCCTCAGGAACACATCGATTTCTTATTGTTTTTCTTTGATATGGAAGTGCCCCTCCATATCGAAAATTTCTCATTAATTTTATTTTTCATTCTAGTCTGGTATTTCTGCTTGGAAAGGCATGATAAGTCCTAAAAAAAGCAAGCAGAAGCTCCCAGTTGGGCCAGACACAAAAGACACCTTTCTCCTTCCACATCTGATCTTCTCCTCCATTCCCCAACTCCTCCCCACAAAGAAAACCTCTCCTGGAGTGGAAGAGTGTTAAAAAAAAATACAATATCTGCAGTCTAGTCTAAGGCCACTGCAGAGATAGGTGCTTTCTTAGTTCAGGAAAGGTAGAGACACAACTCAGAGGTTTTTTTGCTCAAGACGGGGATAGGTAAGGTCCTGAGATTTTGTGATATATATTTATTGTCAAAAACAAAACAACAACAAAAACCTATTAGACCCAGTAAGAAACTGGTCAGAAGAGTAATTAAAGTTGCAAACTTTTGGTGGCATTTTCCCTTATTTTGGATTTAATTTTTTTTTTTCACTTGAGAACTCCTGGCTGGCCTTGGTTGCTATGGTGCTGCAGCCAGGGCCCTGTCATCACTGTCTTGACACAACAGAGACACCTCAAGTTTGAACCCTTGTTATTTTGCTATCATAAGAGAATCCTGACCGGAATTGAGGCTACTGGATGGTCTTCTCTCCCTCCCTCCTCCCTTCCTCCCTTCCTCCCTTCCTTCCTTCCTTCCTTCCTTCCTTCCTTCCTTCCTTCTCCTTCCTTTCGGTTGGAAAGGGAGTCTGTGTGTTCTGTGAGACAGGTCTTGAGATCCTTGTGTGAATATTAGCCAGTCTCTCTGCAGGGCATGTCTGGGTCCACAGAAGCTGGAAGAATGGGGACCATCCTTAGCGTTCCCTTTGTTACATACTGTATTTTGCCTAGGGAGAACATAATCCGTCCGGGTCCCTGCTTTGCACGATCGGGAAGCCCTGCTATAGAGGCCCTTGCTCCTCCGGAGAGGAAGCACCCCAAACTACCACGATGGGGCGGAGGGGGTAGGGGACAACAACAATAAAAAACCTACAGTGGCTTCAAGGTACCTCCAGGTACATCCTTTGGCAACCGCCTTCCCCAGGCCCTATTAAGCCTTATCTCTCCCCTCCCCACAGCGCCCCACTTCCACATTAAAAGGCCCCAGAGCACTACGGACTGCCTTCTCTGTATAACGCCGTGAGGAGAAGGGCGATAAAGATCAGGCGTTTAAATTGGCCATTTGAAAGATTACATCTCTTCACCGAGGGTCTTTCTTTCTAAACTCTCACTGAATTGAGGGCCGTGGCTACTCCGCACCGATTCTCAAAGGCCGGACACTTTTTAATTCCGCGGTGGAGTGGGCAGGGCTAGGTGACCGGCACCATCAAAGGCTCGAGGGAAGGCCGTGGGGCGACACTCGTCTAATGACAAGTAATTGACGCATTCGAAGCCCTGCATTACCAGCGGAATGGGGAGGCATTAATTATTTAAAAACGATTAGCCTCGCTGTGTGTCCTGCAGGCTTTCCATCTCGTTCGGGGAAGACACCCAGCCAGGCACACCAGGCGGAACCCCAGCTTAGAACGCTGCAGAGGCTTTTCAGTTGGCCTCCAGTGTCCATAAAGTGGGCCCACAGCCTGGGATGCAAGGGCAGGCCCGGAGGGTGTGCCTAGATTGCTCATTTTCGGAGGTGCCCTTGTAGCATGGACCTAGAGGGTCCGGTGGACTGTTTCTGCCTACTGGATTCACTGTCCGCAGAAGGCAGTGCAGTGCAACCTGGAATAGACTTCCAGTTAGGGTGGAATGTTCTGTTCACCTAGTGTGTCTCATCCTTTGTTGAAAGTCCCAGTGAAACCTAACTGGAAGTGGATTTCTTTCAATGCCAGGCACCCAGGTGTTTACGGCAAAGATCCTGGGAGAAGGCCGGTTTAAGAAAGAATGGCGGGACTGACAAAGAGATGCTTTCCTTTTTCTTCTCCCACCTCCTACCTCCCGCTGATGGGCATAGAACCCTAAGCTTCACCTACAAGATAATCGTCTATTTCTGGTCTGCCCTCAAAAGTCTAGCATACTGTATTTTCAACAGGCTACAGTGGAAGCTAGTTTAGGAGATGTCGGCACCTTCCCGAAGGCAGCCGAAAGAAGCACTGGAGTCTAGTTTGTCTTCCAAAGTTCTGTTCTTCTACCCCTACAGGCTCAAGTGCTACACCCCGGAGCATGCTCCTGCTTTAGGGCAGCGCGACTAGGTTGTTGTAGAGCTGGGATGATAGACGACCGACCCCGCGGCTTGATTTGACTTTCTCTGCTGGGCCCAGCTCCTGACCCAGGGGGCTCTCTGTGGCCGGAAAAGCCAGCGCCACTTCTTGCGGGCAAGAGCTAAAGTGACTTCCAGGAAAGGCGCTGTCCCCCCTCCCTGCACCCGTTTGGTGCTGCCTGGTCTGCCAGGATCCGGGAAGCGGCAGAGAACAGAACTCAGAGACGCACGCGCCCCGCACGCTGTGGCCTCCTCTTCTCAGGATCTTTTAGTTTCACGCACACACCGGCTGTACAACAATCTAGATTCTGAGACCGAGGCGTACTCATGCCTCCCAAACACAGCTCTCAGGAAACTAGCCGCTCTCCAACCCTACAGCTGCAGGAACCAGTCCCCGTTTCTCATCGCCTCGGGAATCCACCCAGACTGCTAAACAGTTGGGAGTTTTAAACTCCTAGACTTTTTGATCTTCTAAGCCACGGTGCAGTCTCGAATCTCCCACTCCCCCGCGAAAACGCTACTTCCCAACCCCCTGGGTCTTCATCTGCTGGGTGCACCCCCCAGTCCTCATAGAGGCACATGAGTTCGCGCTTGACTGGGGGAAGGGAAGCATGTGGACCTGAGTGGGGGGCGGACTCTGTGCGGGGTGCCCGGGCGTGGCCCCCGAGTGGGCGCGCTCCCTACCTGTGGTGGCCTGCGGGCAGGCGGGCGTCGGAGCGTCCTGCGCTCGGAGGGAGGCGGCGGACTGCTCCTAGCTGAGGCATCCCTGCATTTATTTGAGCTCAAACCGAGCGACTGTTGACTTTAGCACACAAAGCAAAGATTTCACTGCCCGCTAGTTTAAAAATGAATATTTTACCAAGATATCGATCAGCGTTATAAAATTCAGTTAAGTACAATGGGATCCTGGAAAAAAAAAGGAATAATAAAGGAGGGGGGGGAGGCAATATAATATCTGTGCAAATTTGCTGAAGTGTGACGTGGCATGGAAAGTTTACCCTCCTGGAATTCGGATCTAGAATGTTTTTTCGGTTGTTTACTGACTTTGTTTATTCACAGATCACGGTTGCTTAAACCCTGAGCAAGGAAGGCGACGGGCAACCGGAAGAAAAAATGGGGGGGGGGTAGCCGCTGCACCCTGCAATGTGTCGAGTTGCGGGGGGGGGGGGGGGCATCCCTAAGCTTCTAAACTTGGAAACTAGGGGAGGGAACTGTGTGTGTGTGGGGGGGGGGAGACACCAGAGAAGGGCAGAAAAGCCTCCAGGGCACAGCTCCCCGACAACCTTTTTATGTATTCGCACAGAACTATATCTTATCGGCAGGGATCAGTGGAGGGGGGCGCGCTAAGTAGTTTAAAACGACCCTCGAACAATGGGCATGCGATAAGAAACATAGCAGGTTAGGGCAGCGCTTTCAGCCTCTATTGTCCCCCACTCAGCCCCCAGCCCTGCCTCTCCGCTCCTTCGCCACGGGAGCCTTTTATGTGATAATGAAACACATTTCAGGCCGGGCTCGCGACGTGTGTGTCCTGGCCAGGCAAAGAGAAGGCCTGATTGCTGGTTGCCGGCCTGCGGGTCCCCCCTCCTTCAATTTCTCTTCCTTGTGTTCTTCGGAACAATGTGGCTTGTTAAAAGGGGATTTTGGGAGAGTGGGGAGGGGGAGAGGCAGACACACACACACACACACACACACACACACACACACAAATATACAAGCACAAGCGCAAGAGAAGGCCAGACTTGGGGAGGAGGAAAAGGGATGAACCAGGTGTCTCAGAGATCTTGGGCTGAGTTTCTTGTGGGACAGACAGGCGGTCTAGGTTGTAATAGTTAGGAATAGCCAGATGTCAGCTCTAAGCAGTAGCCGGAGGTTAGAAACACTTCTGATGTCTGCTTGAGATTTTAAACAACGAAAACTGTTTTTGCTTCCCATGGGAATGGCCCCAAAGTCAGACTGGAGGAGAAAAAAAAGCTGTTTCCTTCCCTAGCCCAGGCACCTTGCTGGACAAGAGATGCAAGCCCCTTTGAGGTTCCCTTTGCAAGGCCCAGTCCTACTAGAGTTAGTTACCTGTCAATCTGGAGCATCTGGAGAGAGATGGGACAATTGATAAGATTTTATTTTTTTTGGGGGGGGGAGGTCTTTGTATTTCCCCAGAGACTCACAAAATACCCATTCAGCCCCTTGGGCCACAATTCTGGCTTTTCTATCTGAACTTCTGAGCTAATAGAGCTTTGTCAGGGCCACAAGGGTTAGCTAGTAGAAGGGGACACCAGTCTAGAGACTTGGAGATCTCACTACTTTTGGAGTCATTTGGTAATAAGCTGCTCAAGGTGCCCTTCACTGCCACCCCATCCTTCCATACTGCTTTATAAAAGGGGATTTGGAGGTTACCCTAAGCTGGGCACCTAAAACCAGTTCCAGAACAATATTCAAAATGTTTCCTCACATCAGGTGGCTCATAATTTCCAGACTAGCAAGGTTTCCCAACACCAGGATAACACCTGCGAAAGGAGAGGGTGAGACAAGCTGGTGTGTGTGTGTGTGTGTGTGTATGTGTGTGTATTTGTGTTTGGGGGGTGGTATCACAGGCTAGAGACGGTGATCTCAATTCCACAGGAAGGTAAAGGGGGTTGTATGCCAGAAGATTTCAAATGCTGCACCAAGAGGTTGTAAATCCAGTCTAGGCACACTAAGGAGAAAAAAAACCACCAGCAAACATATGTAAAATTCTGCCTTTCTCCTAGCATGGCCAGTCCCAGGGGCTTCGGCAGCAGCACATTTTCCAGTAACTCAGGTGGAAAATTAAGATAGGTGCACTCAGGGAGGTTTTTTTGGTTTTTTCTTTTGTTTTGTTTTTTGGTTCTGACTTTACAAATAACACCATTGGACTTTTACTTGGGCTCAGTGGCACAGGTCTGTAATCCTAGCACTGGGGAGGCAGAGGCAGGAGGATGACCAAAACCGGGTCTTCATAATGAGTTTCAGGACAACCAGAGCTGCTTAGGAGACCTTGTCTTCAATCTCTGCACCTTAATACAAAAAAAAAAAAAATGTCGATTTGAGTAAAGATGTCGGATGGTCCATCAGAGACTTAAGTGTTTTGCCATGTTTAGTAATATAAACCTCAAAATTTAAAAGGTAATCATGAACAGTTTGATTTGTTTACTAATGTCGTTACTGCATTATTTAGGGACTGTATTCCATTCACTCTGAACATGCATTTCAGGAGGCAAGATAGGGGTGTGGCTAGGTGGACAAGCAGGGGAATGGGAGACTTTCCTAGGACTCAGCAGTGGTGCTTACAGGAAAATCCATTCAACTTTGATATTTAAATAAAATGTTAGGTAAACAGAAACACTGACCTCCAGTCTTCCATAAAAGCCCCACAACAAACTCCCACCTCCTTCCCATTCTCTTGCAATAATTTATAAATCTGTTTAATTTTTAAGGAGAAAAACAGCAGGAAAAGAGATGGGGAGGGATAAAAGGGGTAGAAGAAAAGGACCCAAGGGGTAAAATCGGCAATAACACTTTAATATAGATTTATGGAACTCTGGCCGTTCTAGCCAGAACACACATTTTATAAGCCATAAATAAAGCACGCAGAAACCATAAATTAAATCAGACCCGAGACCTGGATTTCACCATGTCCAGAATGGGATGCATTTTTTTTCTTCTCCTGGTCATTTACACCAGACTCTTAACATTATTGTTTTTCCTCTTTTTAAACATCAGTACAACCAGCTGGTTCCCTGTTAAAACTACATGGTTTTACACCAAGTCACTCACAAAAGTTTTCGTTTTAGGTCAGACTTCCCTGCAACATCAACAATAGAGAACAACAACAAAAATCAGAATCTGCAGGTGCCTTGAGAAGGAGGAGTCTACAGGGTAGAAGCCAAAGGCTCCTTTAAAACTGTTTATATATGTATATGTATATATATATATATATATATATTTCCATCCCCTTCTCTACTTAGAATGACAGATCACCTAGGCCCAGTTCTCTAAGGGCACAGACAGGTGGGTGAGACTGCACTCTTGGGGCCTGAAGTGTGGTGGCTACTTTTTCCTCCCAACTTTTCCAAAGTCTCCAGGCAGCCTCTCTTCTCTCTGGTCCTTCTCCCGCTGGCCAGAGCTAGCAGGGCCTGCAAACCTTCTTCTTAGGAGGAGTTCATAATAGGCCTGGAGTACACTCCTTGGTAGTAGGAGGTGTCTGCAGCCAGGGGCGAGGCATCCAGGCCCGCTTTGTTCGTGACTGGGCCCATGGCCAAGCTGCCTGGCATGGGGGAGCCATAGCCCCCAGGGTAGTGCATGACTTGTTCATAGGCCTTGAGGTCCATTTTGTGGGGCTGATGGTGGTGGTGGCTGTGGTGGTGTTGTTGCTCAGAGGACATGAGGTTGTTGATAGAGAAGGGGTGGTTGAAGGCGTAATGGTGCTCCGGCTTCAGGTGGGCCTCGGGTGGTAGGCCTGGGTGGTGAGGTGGGCCCAGCAGGTGGGCTGCGGCCTGCTGCTGCTGCCCTGGCGAGGGCGCTGGCTCCGGGGGACTCAGCGCAGAGGCGGGTGTCCCCTTCAGCTCTCCCAGGCCTCCTCGTTTGTGCTCCTGACATGGGGAAGAGCTCGAATGGGGGGACTCGGTACCCGCAGGAGTCTCAGAGGCCGAGCCCGCGGCCTCCCCGAGCTGAGCCTGCGAGGCCTGAGTCCCAGCAGCGGTCTTCTTGCCTCCGCCCCCGCCCGCCCCCGCGGCTTCCTTCAGTGCCAGCTGCTTCTCACACTTGAAGCGCTTCTGGCGGCGCAGGTAGCAACCATTCTCGAACATGTTGCCCGAGTCGGGGTGCAGGGTCCAGAAGGAGCCCTTGCCAGGCTTGTCTGGCGAGCGGGGCACCTTGAGAAAGCAGTCGTTGAAGGAGAGCGAGTGTCGGATGGAGTTCTGCCAGCGCTGCTGGTTCTGTCGGTAGAAAGGGAAGAGGTCCATGATCCACTGGTAGATCTCGCTCAGCGTCAGCATCTTGTTGGGGCTCTGCTGAATGGCCATGGTGATGAGCGAGATGTAAGAGTAGGGAGGCTTGGCGTGGGTGTAGCTGCGCCGGTACGTCTTGGGGTCCCGTGCGCGGCTCAGGCCCGCCTGCCCGTACATGGGGCTCATAGAGTTCATATTGGCATAAGGAGCAAGGCCACCCATGGCCCCAGCCGCCTGTCCCCCGAGTGGGCTCAGGCTCGGGCTCAGGTGCGGTCCCATGCCTGCCACGCCGGCCGCACCAGCGGAGCCGCTCATGCCCGCCATGGCGCCCGCGCCCGGAGACATGCCAGCTAGGGATGGGCTCATTCCAGCGCCCACATACGATGACATGTTCATGGAGCCCGCGCTCATGTTGCCGGAACCGCTGCCCATAGCGGCCGCGGACATGCTCATGTAAGTGTTCATGCCGTTCATTCCCAGGCCAGCGTTCATGTTGCTCACGGAAGAGTAGCCCTACGGACAGAGCCCGGGGAGGAGACAGGTTAGCACCTAGGCTGAGCGTGCCAGACCCTCCCACCCACCAGTTGGATCCAGTCCTCCGCCTTCCTGGAGGCTGCTTGGAATCTCTTTCTTTCCCTGGGTCCCCAGTCCACTAACACCAAGTCCTCTGTGCCTCAAAGCTAGCCGCACCGGTGGTCGCCCTAGGAGAGGTGACTAGCGGGCTGCAGTTCTAAGCTTGTGGCTCGTTCCTTGCCCAGACTCGAGAACCACTACTACGTCAGGCGCTGCAAATGTATTTTACTCTCTTGGACTTCCCAAACCCTCTGGATAGCATACTGAGTAAGCACTAAGGCTGGAAATCTCCGTTGCAATCCCTGGTCGCCAAAAGCCACTTTTGGAAAGTCACTGGGGCAGTCTCAAATGGAA